ACCGGGGCGCGCGGGGCCAACACGGCCACGATGCCTGCACGGTGACTGGGGGACTGCGGTGTCCCTCGACCCCCTGCAGGACCCCGCAGCTAACGGGGCGGCCTGCCGGTCCCCGACGCCGGTTTTGCTGTGACTCGAATCTGTGATCCGACCCTTCCAGGCTCTCTTTGGACCGCTTGGCCGAGAGAGGCCTCTCCTGGGACTAGACCTCAGGGAATCCGCGTGCAGGTTGAGGGGCGCCTCAGGGGGGACCCCGCACGGATGGGTGGCTCAGAGCAAACAGAGCCCCTCTGCGTCCGCAGTTCTGTGGGTTCTCCAGCCCGCGAGCCCCACGAACCCCACGAACCCCACGAACCCCACGAACCCCGTGCCTCTGATTTTACGGCAGCTTCGGGACTCTTTGGTATAAACCACACTGTCAGAAAGCACGGGGCATGAAAAGACCAGGATTCTCTCTCAGAGCTTGGCCACCACGCCTGCCACCTGCCCAGGTACATATAGCATGAGATCCGCCAACAGCTGAGCCGGCAGGCGGTGGCGCCCACGGCGATAACCGGATCAAGGGCAGTTCCTGCATCGTGCTGCCCACCTTCCCGGTGACTCTCCCGCCCGCGAAGAACAAACGCCACCACTCTGGCTAAGTGACAGGGGCCACGGGTCTTGAGAATTCTTCAGGGAGTGCTCGCAAGGTCGCTGTACAGAATTTGCACGCACGTGTGTGCCTGCGCGTGGGCAGGACACTGAGCGGCCTGGGGGACTTCGCTCCGTGCTCGCACGGTCTGCTCCACAGTCCGCCTGCTTTTATTTTCCTCGGCTGGCTTCTCTCTCACTAGGGGAGACACTGCACCCCCCACATGAAGCAAGAGAGAGCGGTGCCTGCTACATCGTGGGGATGTTCGCAGAGCAGCCAGCAGCCCCCACCTCCTGGTCTGACCGTCCACCCTTTTGTCCTGAGGGGCCTTTGCTGCTGGTTCCAGGCTGTGGGGTCATGGGAAAGGTCTTTGCTTCCTGGGAGACAGGCAGCCATGCAGTCACATGTCACTGTGTTCAAGCCAAAATAAAAATAGGTGAGACCCTTGGCTGGGCCTCAGCCCTGGGCGTGTGGCCATAATCTTCCCTACGATCAAAATAAACCATCAAAAACAACAACAAAAACAAAAACAAAAAACAACCAAAGCATGTGTAATTTTTGCAAGCCCTAAAGTACGTAGTTTCTATGATATTTTGTAACCCGTTGGAGACGGGGTCTGTGCAGATGTGATTAGTGAAGGACTTGAGACCAGTGCTCCTGGAGCAGGTGGCTCTAAACCCAGTGACAGTGTCCTTATTAGAGACAGAACAGGACAGACACAGACACAGAGGAGGAGCCACGTGGACACGGAGGCAGAGACGGGAGGGACACGGCCACCAGCCCAGGGACGCTTGGGGCCCCCAGACGCTGGGAGAGGCAGGAAGGACCCTCCCCTGGGGCCTCCGGAGGGCGTAGGACCCTGAGACACCTGGATGTCACACTGCTGGTCCCCAGGACTGGGGGAGGACACATCCTCACTGTTCTGAGTTATGTGTCCCTGCTCCCCCGGGACAGGGGTGAAGATCCCAGTGCAAACTGTTTGTCGCACGGAGGGCGGTCACCTCACCTATTGTCTTCAACCAGAGAAAAGAGTCGAAGAACTGGATCTTCGCGTGGCGGCTGGTGCCGTTCACCAGGAAGTACGCCTGAGACGCCCATGACGACACGTCCGGCACGTGACAGCCCACGTGGGTGCCCGACTCCCGAACGTAGTGAGGACACTCTCTCCCCCACTGCTTCCTGTAACGTGCCGAGTGTTCAGACAACAGTGTTTGTTTTTGTTTTTTGTTTTCTTTCTTCACGGTCGTGTCCCCAAGGTCAACACTTACTTTGAGTCCTGGACATATAGAAAATACTGGACGTCGTCAGGGGCCGCTGGGCCCTTTGTCCAGCTGCAGTTCATGAAATGCACGTTGTAGATGAAGCAGGAGAAGCTCTGTGCGGCTGTGCCTTCCTGACCTGGGGAGAGGCAGAAACAGGGTCGTTTTCGCCGGAAGGTTGACAGGAGGTGGAGCGGCCGGCCTCATGGTATGCACATCCCCCGCATCGCAGAGGCGCATGCGCGCCAAACATCCGTGGCATCCTGCACAAAATGAAAGTGCGAACCCTCCCAAACTCATCTTATGAAGACAGCATCACCCCAATTGGAAGCCAGACAAAAAGATACGAGAACACAGAAGTACAGGCCGATTTCCCTCACGCACATAGATCTGAAGACTCTCACCCAAATGCTAGCAAACCCAACCCAACAGCACGTTCAAAAGCTGACATGCCGTGGCCCAGTGGGCTTCACCGTGGCACGCAAGGATGAAGCAGCGTGTGCCAATCAGTCAGTGCGATGCACCCCATTCACAGAACGAACAGAGAAAACACACGATTATCTCAACAGAGGCGGAAAAAAAATCTGACAGACTTCAACGTCCATTCCAGATAAAAACATCAGCAGGATAGGAGTGTAAGTACCGAAGGAGCTTACCCCGACACAACACACACCAAATACGAAAAGCCCCCAGCTAACGTCACGCTCAGACGAGACAGGCTGACAGCTTTTTGTCTAGGATCCTGTGCAAGGCAAGGGCGCCTGCTCTCACCGCTTCTGTCCGACATCGTTCTGGAATTTCTAGCTGTAGCAGTTGGACAAGAAAAAGACAGAAACGCATCTAAAGCAGAAAGGAAGAAGGAAAACCATCTCTGTCTGCAGGTGATATGATCCTATAGGTAGAAAACCCTTAGGACTAAACAAACAAACAAACAAACACCAAACAAACAAAACGAGGTTAGGACTGATGAATAAATTCAGCAAAGTTGCAGGAGACGAAATCAACATATAGAAATCAGTCATATTTCTACACCGGCATCAGCGTATTCAAAAAGGAAATTAAGAAAACGATGTGTTCATGTTAGCAACAAAAATAAAAGACTTAGGAATAAACTTATCCAAAGACGCAAAAGACGTGGACACTAACGATCATAAAACGTTGATAAAGGCAATTAAAGGACACGCAGAACATGTTCGCGGACGAAAATAATTAATAGTGTTACAATATCCTTAGTGCCAAAGGCGACCTGTTTTTCAAAACGATTCCTATCAAAACCCCAATGATATTCTTTCCAGAAATAGAAAAAAAAAAAGTCCTAAAATTTAAATGGAACTACAAAAAACTCTAAGCAGCCAAAGCAATATTGGGCAAGAAGAGCAAAGCCAGAGACATCACATTTTCCGACCTCAAAGGATGTCCCAAAGCTACAGTAATCAAAGCAGTGTGGCGCCGGCATAAAAAGACACATGTAGACAAATGACGCTGAGTAGAGAGCCCGGAACTAAACTCGCGCGTTTATGGTCAGCCAGTCTGTGATTGATAGGGGCACCCAGAACACGTGCCGAAGAAGGGACTGACGATGACCGATGGTGGCAACACTGTGCAGAAGAGTGGACTCGGATCCTCCTCTCACAGCAGCTATGGGAATTGGCTCAAAACGGACGACAGGCTGACACACAGGACCCACGACTGTAGGACTGGAAGAAAACCCTGAGGAAAGGCGTCTCGGCCTCGGTCTTGGCGACTGTTTTTTGGAGATGACACCAAAGCATGAGCGACAAAATCGAAAACAGACGGCCGGGGTTGCAGCCGTGAGTGAGACCCCGCACAGCAAAGGGACAACCGGCGGGGCAGAGGCCCCAGCGGGAGGCGGAGAATGTCCGCACGCCACGGGCACCTGCTGAGCGGCTCCTGGGCAAGACCACGCGGGATTTCAACACCTCGACGGCACGTGACGCAGTGACGATTAAAAGCTCTGCGTCGTCTTCTCACAAAATGGGCAAAAGATCTAAACAGACGTTTTTTGACACCAAGGAGACATATAGTTGTCTAACACGTCTGTGAACACCAGCTCAGTGTCACTAATCATCGGGGACGTGCACATCAAAACCACGGGGACACATCCCCCCACGCCGGTCGGAACGGCTGTCGCAGGAAGGGCAGGACAGAACACGTGTCAGCGAGGACGAGAGAGAAGCGGACCCTCGTGCGCTGTTGGTGGCACTGCAGACGGGTGCGGCCACGATGCAAAGCGGTTTCCAGGTTCCTCAAAAAACTAAGCATAGATCCAGCATGCGAGCCGGCAACTCTGCTTCGCGGTGTGTGCTTTAAAGATGCGATCTTTACCTCGAAGAGACCTGAGCACCCCGGGGGCACTGCAGACTTACTCTCAGGAGCCAGTGCATAGGAACAACCTAATGTACATCGAAGGACAAACGGAGACACACGATGTCATACGTACATGGGCACAGAGTGGTCGGAAGGGACAGAGGGTCAGTTTTGCGGGATGAAAACCATGGCGACTTCATTACTGATAATCTACTGTTCACTGGAGATAAGCTGAGACAGTCGATCTCAACGCTTCTCCCCACGAAAAATAAAGTGAAATAAAGATAAATAAAACAAAGGTAGATAATGCAGAATAGAATAAAATAAATAACATAAAATGTAAAATAAAACAAAAATAAATACAACAAAATAAAACAAAGTAGAATAGAGTAAAATAAAATAAATTAATAAAATAAAGTAAGAAAAAGTAGAATAGAATAAAATAAAATAAATTAATAAAAA